CTGCTTCACAGCGCCATCCACGTAATCTTCGACAACATTCTTGCTGAAAAGTATGTCCACAGGAAAAGTTCGACCTGGAATCTGAAAATGAATAGAGAGTTAGTTAGAATAGTTTTCGATTGGCTGTAGAAAAATCCCAAAACCAAAACTATCACATGACAAAGGTTGATATTAACATTAGTCATCAAGCGCTCCAAGGAAACGTTGGTGACCGAGTCATGGTATATACGATTGGTTTTCGTTTTACATCTGATGGCTTAAGACGGCGTTTTATCACATCATGATGACCCGAGCTCTTTGCGATTATCCACGAAAAAGCCAAAAGAGAGGACGAATCGCGTTAAAAAACACGATCAATCCCCGGCTGTTGTGAATTCCGGGACTAGACTCCGGATCCAGAGATTCAGATTTTGATCCTGGGCGAGTCACTTAACCCTTTAACCCCTCAGAGTGACTAGCATCTAATTTCTCCTTACAATATCACCCCTGAATCATGCATTAAGGTCACGAGAATAAAGAAAATTATCAGCAGCTAAAGAAGTTGTTAATTGTTACACAAAGTGTCCTTGTCAACACCTTAGGGAATGTATAGAGAACAGTATGGAAAATACCTTTACTGATGCAAGGGTGTAAAGGGTTGACCATCCCTGTGCCTCTACACATCCGGGAATATAAACTGGTATCGGTAAACTCTCACGAAAATTTCACAAATAACTGCAGGAGGACTAACAAAACTCTTTGTAGCTTTATACTACCGAAAACGGGATAAGCATCTGTTGAAGTCTCCGTACCTGAAATGTAGGAACATTCCCGAAAAAGTCGGCGAATTTTTTAGCGTCCATGGTTGCAGAGGTAACAATCAGTTTCATATCCCTTCGGCGAGAAATGACCTGAGAAAAGAAAAGAAAAGAAAACCGTTGCTCAATCCAGGTACGAATATAAATAAAGTTTTTCAAAATATATCCATAGAAGATAACATTCATAGAATCATTTAACAGAAACAAAACTAGCTAAAGGAAATTGGAGCATGCGTAGTACCGAATCATTTACATTGATGTCAAACGTAAACAGGCAGGCAGCAAACAGGCACCACAAATCACATTGTGAAACATTTGGGAGATCTTTGAGTTACATCAGGAGTTGCTAAGCCGATAAACTGGACTATTCTCTTTATCTATACGCTTGATAATTTTCCGTATTTAGTCCATTAAGCGCCCAACCTCGAATAACCAACCACTCGCTAAAAGGTCCAAATATTTAATAAGCGCTCAGGGCGCTTAATCTTAAAAAAAACGGTATATCAATGGAGAGGAGACGTTACACGTTCGTCGCTTTTGGGACAGATGGTTAATAATTGCCAGGGTGAAAGCATAATCCGCGAAGGCGAATAGTTATCTACAGAATGTAACATCTCACCTCTCTAAGAAGACCAAAGAGGACATCTGTGTTCAGCGACCGTTCGTGCGCCTCGTCCATGATAATGACGCTGTAATGATCAAGATCTGACTCACGGAGAGACTCTCGCAAAAGAATACCATCTGTCATGTACTTGATCATTGTGCGCTGCAAGAAACAACCGACAGTTGAGATGGTCAGTTACAAGTGAAATGATTCCCCATGACCAACCCAATCATGCCCAGTTAACGGACTGGAAATAACTACGAAAATAAACGAAAACTTCCTTTTAACCTTTAACCTCTAAGAGTGACTAGTATCTAATTTCTCCTTACAGTATCAGCCCTGACTTAAACATCACGATCATGAGAATGAAGAAAATGATCGCCAACAAAAGAATGTCGTGATTGTTAGACAAACTCCATTGGTCAGTAACATGAAAAATACATAGAGAACAGTATGACGAATATATATACTAGTGTTAGCGTATTATGGCAAGATTTTAAAAAAACTTACGCACTTAAGTCATCATTTGCGCTGGAAGAGGATGCGCGTTTGACACGCAGTCCTTAAGTTGTATATTACAATAACCATCCTAAGTTAATTATAAAGAGAATATTACCTCTGGTCGCCAATGCACAGAACTCAGCTCACACAAAAAACTCAAAGCAAACCACTGATACATTGAATGTAAACAATTTTTCCTCACCTCGGAAGTGACATCCTCAAATCGAATGGCGTAACCAACTTCCTCACCAAGTCTGCAGCCAAACTCTTCACTGACGCGCTTAGCAACTGACATAGCAGCCACTCGACGAGGCTGTGTGCAACCAATCATTCCATAATTTGTGTATCCATCCTCATGCATGTACTAGAAGAAAAAAATGTAGGATTGCTTGAAATGAATAAGTTATTTGAGTAGCAACAACAACAACAACAACCGAGAGTAACATACACCTCACTGTGCAGCCATAGCGATGACAAGGGGTGAATGTTACATGGCCATACAGAGATACCTAATCTCCACGCAGAAATACTTAATCTCCTGCGATCCTGTTATTATCTTTTTTTTTTAATACATACAACCCACACAAAGGAACATTTCCTACTTTACAGGAGACATTGAAAATCAAAATATTTTCAGACGTCAACTCGTTAAGCACCTCACAACGGCGCTGTTTTCGCGTCGAGCGATTTACATTTTTTCGTACCTGAGTAAGCTGTGTTGTTTTTCCAGAACCTGTTTCACCAACCACAATAACAACCTGATTGTCTCTCACGATGTTAAGAAGCTGCAAAGAACAGGTACAGTAATTTTAAACTGGATGAAAAACACAAATTCACACACGCAACGTGAGTTCTACATATCATGTACTTAACAACAAAGTGGGAGGGCTAAATGGCGCTGGGTCGGCACGTCTTGACCTACAATAAGTAAGCATTTCATCAAATGACTGCCGTTTTATATCCCTCTTCCTTTCTTCTTACGTTTTTTTCTACCATGCATCTTGTGAGGCAGACGGCTCAGTTGTACAGCTTTTTCTAGCACTGTTCGCGCCTTCAAGCCCGGCCCTCGCAATGGAATTATTTTGTTTAAAATAATTTTCAATCAAAACGGCATCCTGGCCCGTACGGGTCAGTTGGAAAATAAACGAATAAGACGGCTCCAAATTCCTGTTCAAATGCACAAAATTTAGCAAAAAAAAAACACTACATATCATTTATTTACATATCGTAGTGATGTTTCACAGATTGACATAGCTTCCTTCGTACCTCTTCTCGAATCGCAAATATGGGCAAATACTCTCTTTGTTCCTTGATTGATTTCTTCGCAGCAAACTCGCTGCTGGCTTCATTTTTATCTCTCATATGTTCAGCAAACTTCTGATTATCTTTGTAATCTTCTTCCTCGTCTTGTTTTGTATCCTTGAAGACAAAGAAAAATAGTTACCTTTATTTTACTAACATCGTGAAGTTTGTAAGAAGTCGTAATAAATTGTGAGTATTTGTCGTGGTATAGTAGATTTACGAAGTTTACAAACGAACAAATTTGTTCCGAAATTTTAAATAACATGAAACAGCACGAAACTTACATGAAACAAACGCCGCACAAGAAAACCAAGATTTCTTTAAAGCTCGTTTTTTTTTTCTTTTTCAATAACAAATTTCTCACATGAAATGTTCTTAAACAAAGTCGAAATTCAAATTCCAACATACTTCATCTTCTTCCTGTTTAACACCCAGAATGTTGCCAAGTTTTGTTCCCGCCAGTTCCCAGTGTTTGTGTTGCGACTTCTGTCGTTCTTTCTGTTCTCGGTGAACACGTACAACATGACAACCTTTTCTTGAAATCATAGCCATGTCTGAAGTGGAATCCTGCAAAGAAGACGAGGTTTGGTAAGGTACCGTAATGATTCGATTTAACGCCCAGCGCGCTTATTTACTTAAGTTACCTAAAGGGAGGGCGCTTATTCGAAAAATGGCTCCTGTAAGGAACAGGGTGCTTATTCTACTTTGAGAAACAGTTGAATGTGCGAAACAAAAGCTCTAAAGTCTATTTAAAAAAGATCTGAAAACTGGAAAACGGACTAGTTGTCCCTGGATCCTTCCTATTTCGAGGGATTCTTATTGGAAAGAAGACGCATTCTTATTGGAAGGAAGACGCCACATCGAATCATCACGGTACTTATAATATCTCTGGGTTCAAATCGAGGGGAATATTTCAATTCGAAAAAACGTTTGAATTAAACAGGCTGCAAAATGGCTCGCTGAATTGACCAATCAAAGAGCACGTACTAACTATAACATAATACCTTGACTGGAATGACCGGTTCTGGTTGCTTTGTGAAGACAATGCGTCCATCAAGAAAAGGCGGCACTATGTTATGCACCAACAGGTGGACTTTGGCTTCTTGATCATCTTCAAAGTCTTCATCAACATCTAACTTCTGCACCACACCACTTGTCAACATCCTGTTGGTCTCCCAGAGGTCATTATCCTGAATTAATTGGAATATTTTCAACACATTCAGATGGTAAGTAAATGAATGTACACCAAACATACAGCCTCTCACTGAAACCTCTTCCATTTTGAGATATGGTTAGTCACAACCTACAAATCCTCAGAGGTATGGCCGGGGATATCTTAAGAAACAACATACACTTTCATTGAAGACTTCTTGATGACTGGAATTCTGACCAACCTGCTTTGTGGGATGTATGCTGATGAACTTGAAGAGCCAATATATTAAAGGAAAAATCTTTTTTAAAGATCATGAGTTATGAAAATGCTACTTCTGAATCTTAAATTACTACAATAAAGTTAGAATGAAGTTAACTCTGTAGGACCTAATTAGCATTTGACCCCTTGGCATCTAACTTCTCCTTACAATATCACCCTGCAATCACACATTAAGGTCATGAGAATAAAGGAAATGGTAACCAACTAAAGAAACTCTTGATTGTTAAACAAATTCTCCTTGTCAGTGACTTAGGAAATGTATGAAGAACAGTATGGAGAATATGTAAACTGATGGTTAAACAAATTCTCCTTATCAGTTAACACTTTGGACGCCAGCTAAAAATTGCATATGCTACTACACATGATAAACACTTTTAGATTTCCTCTGCTGATAACTCTGTATACACGATGTAAATCAAAATATGTTTGCACACTAAACATGTCCACATTTCACCTTGTTTATTTGCCTCTGTTGTGCTGACATCTTCTTAACTGCTTTCTTGGCCATGTTTTCCTCTTTTTTCTTGGTGTATTCATCACTGACGTCAGCAAAAGGGTTATGTGTTTCATCATAACCAGAGTCCATATCATACCAAGCTCGGTCCAGCCTCTGTAAAATAATGTACAGTAATTCACTTTTCATCATGTTTTTTCTACCTAGCCAGGAGTACAAGCAACTCTTTGTTTGAAATTTTTCTCCAAATACCCTGCCTTTGAACATCAAAGCTACCATCTTTGATTTTTACAGCAGCAGAAAACTGAGGAAAGAAAGAATTTTGTACCAAAGGGATGAGCCAGCCAAAAGGAAGGAGAGGGGAGGGGGTGGGGCAATGTCATCTTGCCATTCCCCATCCCCTTCTCCCACCATCCACTCTTATCTTATACCAAACAGTCAAAGAAACAATTACGCCTTGATAAGACAACAGCACCACAGGCTAAAATCTTATCAACCTTTTAACTTCCATGAGTGACCAAGACATAGTTTCTCCTTACAATATCAATAACAAGTGAAGCAGACAAGTGATGAGAATAATCAAAAATATCAATTAGGGGATCATTAGTTGATCCAATACCAAATTCTCCAAACTTGCATTATAATAATAGTGTGGCAGACACTGAGGAGAATTACTAATGAGATGTTGGGAGTGAAACAGTTTTTCTGTGCTCATGGCTCATTAATCACCTTTTGTTCTTCTTCCCATTCCTCCTTGTCAACTTCAGAAGGAAATCGTGATTCCTTGTCATCTTCAGAACCTGCATGTTTCATTGTTATGTATCAGTCAACCAATGATTTGTCGAAGTTAATACAATTTTGAACTGCTTAACACCATCAAGAAAGTAACATCTTGACCAAAGACTTCCTGATATAAACAAGAACCTGCCACAATGTGACTATTCTGTCACAATAACTACTTGGTTTAACCATAAATTTAAGTATTTTTGAAGGAAATATGTGGGTTATAAATATTAAATTTTTAATCTAATGACAGATTAGTCTATCAAGATAATTACAAATGAGAGGGCAAAACCTAAATTAATGCTACTAAATTAATTTATTCTACTTTATTCCACAGATTTGGCATGATGAGGTCTTTTCATAACATACTCCTTGTTATAACATTGCTATATTATAATTTTGTCTCACGTTTTCCTTTGGAGAATCTAGGAGTAGCTCCAGTGCTACGGCGATCATCTTCCCAAACATTGTATTTATGTGTAGGGGTGAAGCGAGGAGTGTCATCTACTCTTCGATGAGATCTGTAGGGCAGTAAATTATTCCACTTATTTTAATAAATGCTAGGACTTTACAGAATAAATCCATTGATTGAAAAACACCTATAAGTGCTCCTTTACAAGGAAGCAACAAATTAAGGGATTGTAAAAGACACAAACTCTAACAGAACTGCAGGTAATGATAGTGTAATCTCTGTATCAGTCTGAGATA